GGGCTCCAAGAATGCACAGTTGTAAGGAGTTACCAGGTGTGGCTCCTGGTCCAGGGCTATACTTGAGAACCACTGCTTCGGACACTATCCAAACGCGTTTCAAGCAAGGAGCTATTTTCTTCTTAACGTTGCCATCTCACCCCCTGAGGGAAAGCTTGAAAACAGCTGGAAATCAGTGAGCACTTTCCCTCCATAATTACTGGTTTTTCTCCTGTTTCCACTAGGATTCCTATGCTCGCTACTTAAAATCTCCAATCTATAAGGAAATGTTGGCCAAGGCAATCGAGCCTCAGGAAAGTGCCAAGAGAAGGCAAGTGGAACAGTCTGTAATTGCTGGTTGCCTGCTGTTTGTTGACAGAGAAGGAAAGGTCTCTTTCAACCCAATGACCATTATTGAGACATTTGCTTGATGAAAATATTGGGGCCTGGGAAGCACTGTTTGCTTGGGGGGTGATTGCTTCATAAGGCCCTGAAATCCCTCCAGCAAGATTTCCCGAGTAATTACTGCCAATAACATTTGTTTCCCTAATGGGGGTTTAAAAGCATTTTGATGATCAGGCTGATAATTACCCTGACCACAAATGCAGACATCTTCCTGGATATTTACTCTTCTCTCCTCACAACGGCCACGGCCACGTGGAAGAGGATTTAGTTTCATCCTTGTATGCTTGTAATATCCCAGGACTGTCCTTGTAATATTCCTGGACCGTCCTTGTAATATCCCATGACATGAGGGAGAATGGCAGCTCTGGTGGTAGTACCTAAGGCATTTGACTGATAACAAAAAGGCTGGCAGTTCAAACCCACCAGCCACTCCTCAGAAGGAAGGTTGGGCAATCTACTTCTGTAGTGATACCGCCTTGGAAACCCAAGGAGGAGTCGCTATGAGTCGGACCCTATTCGAGGGCAGTGAGTTTGGTTTTTTGGTTTTTGAGGGAGAATAGAAGATGACGCCCCAAGAGAAAATGCTAGACTCTGAGAGGAAATGAACAGTAGTGTCCAAGTTCTCTTGCTGGCCCCAGGGACTGCCTTGTAGCAAGTCTGTCAGTTTGCCCGGTCTCACTTTCCTTGCTGGGGATGTAGCTCATCTCATCTCGCAGAGCCCTTGGGACAATGGATGAAATAACGTTCTGAGGCCAGTTTGAACTCCTTTTGGGAAAACCAAACAATGAACCAACCAACCAAAGACTTCATAGGGACTGAAGATTCAAAAGAATAATAACCAAATGACAGCTTGGACAAAGGCGGGGGATTTTGGCAGAGGTCTTCATAGCACTGGCTGCGTGTCCTGTCCCTCCATGGTTGGTAAATGTCCCCCTGTTTGCCAGCTCAGCCCACGCTGGGCTCTTATCCAATGTCTTCAGTCAATTCAAAAGAGCCGGGAGGGTGGTTGGACCAGAGCCTTTATCAAAGGATCTTAAAAAAAAAAAAAAAACCCAACTTGGTTTCATTCTTGAGGATAAAGGTCCTGTTATGAAAGGAGAGAAAGGAGGTCTTTGTGGTGCTGTTCTACTAGTTTTATGTGTAGGGACAGGAGTTCAATGTCCCTGGGGACTTGAAAGCTTCTCCCTTAAGCCACAAGAAAGGGCCCTAATAGCTCCAGACATTCTGCCAGGAAGTAGTGGGGAAGGAAGGGGAGACTGGTACTTCTCTCTCCACATTGTTTTGTGAGGCCTGCTAGGTGCCCTAAGTGCCTGACATGACACTGGACCCTGGTGGACACTGGGCTTTGGTGTGAGGTATTGCGGTTTGATAATGTTGTGCTTGTGTAAGATGAGGCCTGGGAGGTGTACCTGTGGGGACTGCAGTGGATGTGAAACTGTCTTGTGACCCTCAGATGTAAGAGAGTGTGTACAATGCACTTTTTCCAGGACAAGTTAAATCTAGGTCCAAGCTTCTCCCTTGCTGGGGCTTGTGAGGGACCTAATACCAGGCCTCACTGGTGGGAGGGAGCCTTTCTCCTCCTCTGGGTAGATAAGAGAGTTCTAGTGGACTTGTGTAGTCTGGAAATGGTGTCAGTCCAGAGTCTTCAGTCTGTCATTGATGCTTGTTTTCCGAGTTTATGGGAGCCCTCAGAAGTGGGGGCTCTGCTGCTCAAGTCCCGAAGAATTCAGACACCTAGAGTTTGACTCCCAAGGCCATGAGAAAGAGAAGTTGGCCTCAGGAATCTGTGTTTCTTTCCAGCCAAGGTCTGGGGTGCTCTGTGAGAGGGGGTACAAGTCCCGCTCACCACCCTTCTTCAGGCCCTTCCCTCTTCCTCTGCCTTTTGGGGCCTTGCCTCCTTGGGCAGTCTTTTCTTCCTTCTGGAGCCTTGGAAACAAAAGTTCCAACTCTCCCTTGAGATCTTACACCAGGCTTCTAGTATCTAATTTCTCCTTGCCCCCTTTGTGTGTGAAGAGCCTACAGGAAGTTAAGATACTAAGCTGATCTCTCAGTACTGCAGAGGGCATGTCTGTGATCTTCACCACCAGAAGAGTCTCACCTAACCCACCAGTAACCAGGTGCTGTTGAATTGGTTCTCATGGCAACCCCCTGTGTGTCATGGTAGCACTGAGCTCCATGGGGTTTTCAGTGCTAGATTTTCCACAACTAGATTGCCAGGCCTTTCTTCTGAGGTGCCTCTGGGTGGACTCAAATCTCCAACCTTAAGCTTAGCAGCTAACTGAGGGCATTAGCCCCTGACACCACGCAGGGACTTCTACCTAACCTGACTGAAAATCTGACAGTAGTTGCTACTCTCTCTGGTTCCGTTCTCCAAAGGGGGGACAAGAGCTAAGACTGGGCATGGCGTCTGAGGACTCCACTTGAGGTTCTCCTGGAGAATGAGGGAAACAATTCCAGGCCCAGCCATCCAACCCCACTCCCCACTAAGAGTCACTGAATCGTTGTTGGGCAAACGGTATGGCTTTCTGCCAACTGCCAATCCTGTCCTTCGTTCCAGCTCGAGCCTCCTGTTCATGCGGCGCCACCTGCGCTCCAGCCCGAGCCCCGTCATCCTGAGGCAGCTGGAGGAAGAAGCCAAAGCGCGAGAAGCCGCCAACACCGTGGACATCACCCAGGTCATGAGCAAGCTGGACCGTAGGAGCCAACTCAGAAAGGAGCTGCCTCCTAAATAAATCTACAATCCCGGGGGTGGGCAGCAGGCATGTGGGAGGCAAACAAAGAAAGGTAGGGTCAGAGTCTTGGGGAGTCCATTCCCCAGTTCCTACTAGTGGAGCAGTGAAGTCATCAGATTCGTCCTGTAGTCTTATGACATCCTGTAGTGGGTCAACTTCCCAATACCATAGCAACTAGAGCTGGGTCTCCTACTTCAACTCACCAAGGGCTAGGGTTGGTCAGTGAGGGGGGAAGCGTTGCTTGTGACAGCCTGTCTTACCTTAGGGGGTTCTAATAGTGAGAACCACAGGGGAAACAAGCTGGTTTGTACAGTAGCATTTGATTTGGGGATAGTAAAGTGAAGGCATCCCCTCAGCCCCAAGGTGTTGCTCTTTTCGGGATGTTTATTTAGACTAATTTTATGAAGCTCCTCATTCCATGCCTCCAATTCAGACTGCTTCTAAAAGAGTCTTTGTAATCCCTCCAAGGGGCTAGTTGCAGGGCTTCCTATAGTTGAACTTCCTCTGGTCTGTTATGCTACAGCTGCTAAGACATCTCTCCTGTTGACCTTGTTTTTGGTCATACTTGCTTGAGGATTAGTGAGCTCTCTCCTTCCTTCTTGCCTTCCCATCCCGTTATACATGCTGGGGAATAAGCAGATGGTAGGAATGAAGGACTCAGGTCTGAGACATCCAGAGTTGTCACATTAAATAGCCCTGTGAGGAGCAACTTTCAGACTTAAGAACAAAGACACTGATGTCTTCATGAAGGGGATGGTAGACATCTGTGACATTTTCAGGATGAATCAGAAAAAATACTCTTTTGCATGTTTCCTCGATGTTGGGGCTTCCGTCATTTGCAGTGGTAGCCCAGGGCCATCCGTACCGTTACGGGTGGAGGGAGAGGACAGGTCAAACTTTAACTTTGGGAGATCTGGAAAGGCATTCTCAATGTTAGGGTTACCCCACACAACTGTGTATAGAGATAGAACAAGGACGTGAGCAAAAGATAAATCTTGGACAGCGGGATGACTCATTCATTGAGCATCTACTCTGTGTCAGGCATTGGTGAATACAACAGACATGGTCCCTGTCCTTGTGGAACTTCTAGTCTAGTATTGACAGTTGATAATTCAGCAAACTATATCAGTTAGCTGCTGTTGTATAACAACAACAACAAAAAAAAACATGCAACAGCAGTGGCATACAACAAATGTTTGTTGCTCATGCATCTAGGGTCCTTAGAAGGCTCTATTGTTCTTGGCTGGGCTCACTGACATGTCTTGGTGGCTCCTGCTGGTTGATCTACACTGGCCTGGCTGAGATGAGTGGGATGATTCTATTGTGTTTCACGTGTCTCTCATCTTCCAACAGCTGGTCTGGTCATAATTCCATGGCAAGGGCAGAATGAGAAGGGAGCAAGTGGAAACAAATAAGGCTTCTTGAGGTCTTGGCTAGGACTATTTTCCATCTCTTTTTATTGGCCAAAGTCACCCAAGATAGCCTAGATTTAAGGAGTGGAGGAAGAGTGTCTTTCTTTAGTGAGAGAAATTGAAGTCATATGGCAAAGGACATGGATACAAGGAAGGATGGGGTCATTGTTGCAATCAACAACACAAACGCGTATATGATAAAACCTGTAGAATGTGTTAGAAAGGAAAAGAATACAATGCTGTGATTGGGAATGTTGGGGGAAGCGTCTAGATTAAGGAGTCCTCTCTGAGGAGGTAAGAAACAGTTGGCCATGTGGGTTAGACAGGGAGAACTTTCCAGGCAGAGGGAGTGAAGGCCTAGAGGTGGGAAATTGTTCAGAGTGAACTGAAGCACCAAGCGAATGGAGCCTGGTGGATGAGGAGGCTGTAGTACAAGACGAGGGTAGAGAGGTGGGCCAGGGCCAGATTATTGAAGACCTTCTAGGACACTGTAAGGAGTTTGTGGTCATTGGTTTTGTGTAAGCAAAATGAGTCCAACCCAAAATATGGGAGCTTACTTTCCTGAATTTCACTACAGTCTTAGACCAGTTTATACTCTGAAAGAGCACAGAGGGATACCCTTTGTCTTACTTGTGAAGAATGTTGGCATCCTCTAACTCTGAAACATACCCCAAGTAGATATTACAGGTAATGAACCATTGTCAACTGAGTGACATGAAGAGGCTTGGAACCTAAAGGTTGAGCTCTAGCAGGGTCTCCATAAACATGTATTGTATGCATGCATGCATTCATGAATGAATGAATGGGTGGAAAGAGCCCTGGATTTGGAGGAGACCTCCTGGGCTCTTCTGCTGGCCTTACCCTTACTCATGTTGTCTAGAGCAAGTCACTTAATCTCTCTGGTTCCTCATTTATGAAATGAGGGGTTGGGACCAGATCCACACTTCTCAAAATGGACTTTGTGAACTCCAGGGGTTACCCGACCTGGGGCATCAATTTTACTTGATGATTTGGAATGGGAGGAAAGTTAGGTAATTTTAAAATTTTTATATTAAAATAATCATGAATATATTATGAAATAGAATGCAAAATATACATGAATGGTTTATGGTAAAATTTGAGACATCAAAGACATTTCGTGCTTGGCTGTGGCCGGTTCAGGCTTGGTCCTCAGACTCCTGTGGGAGCATGTTTACTCAGCTCTCCTGCTGTTTGGCCTAGTTTTGTGGGGAAGTTTGGGAAGCATGAAGCCAGAGAATATTTAGTATCTCTTCCAGTTACTCCACATGAACTGAGATCACACACCTAGGAAAATGGGGTGGTGGATGTTAAATACATCTTCAGAGAATGGTCTATGGCTTATCCAGCTTTTGTTCAACTACCAACCACACTGTTCCCCATAGCTTTCTAGCTGTGTCAGACACATAGTAGATTAGATATTCCCCAAATGTTGTTGGAATACCTAGTCAATATCAGACACACAAAGATAACATAATCTAATGGCAAACAAAGGCATGCAAACAAAGTAAGTCATCACTCTTTGCTGAAAACTACCAAGCAAACAAATAGATTGGTCTTAGAGTTCTATTATGTGATGAAGCAAAACACTGAAGTACTTCTTAACCTAGATTCTCCCTCCACTTTCACCTCTAATAGGAAGTTGAAAATGTGATTCTGGAGAGAGAGATTTCTAAACCATTCTTGTTTTATGCACAGGTCATACAGAATGGAATAAAACAGTTAAAGTCTGATATCATGGAGTTTATATTAAAATGTAGGTTTTTTAAGTGATTCCAAGTTATGGAAAGGGGGAGATTTTAGATGGGTTCATTCCCACAAAAGTAGTAGTTGAAACTGAGAGTGGAGGAGAACTCAAGGGAGAGAAAGTGGACAGGGAGAGAGAAGACTCAGAGAAATGTTGGCGGAGACACATTTTAAAGGTACAAGAGAAGGTCTAAGAGTGGAGAACATATTTTTAAAGAGGTGAGGGAAGGCTATGAACGGGTGGTCAATCCACGTTGCAGTGTTGCAGTGGAGAGACTTGGTACTCATTAATTATTCCATGGGCACCATTCTGTTACCCAGACTCCTGTGCAGTTAGGTTGGGGTCATGTGACTAGTTCTGGCCCATAGACTATTACGAGCCTGGTGATCCAGCTCCATATCTCTCTTCCCTCTCTGTGGTGACTCTAGAGTCCAGATTATCTTTTAGCTAGCACAGTTGCAAGATGGAGGAAGCCACCTGGCCCTTCACGTTGAACTTTATGTGAACAATGGCCCTTTATTGTATGAAGTGCCTGAGAGTTTGGAGTCACTGAAGCATAGTTCATCCTGTCTTGACTAGTGAAATGTCAAAGGCTGTAGGAGTTGAGTGTGTTGAGGACTAAGAGAGGCCACTGGATTTGGCAGTTAGAAAATCATTGGAGACAGTTGAGTGGGTGATTTCCACGGGATAGTGAGGGTAGAAGCCATATTTCATGGGGATGAGAGAGACCATATTGGGACAGTGGGAAAAGAGAGCAGAAGGGACTGGAAGGAGATACCACGTATACTTCATGCCCAACCTCACTGTCACCCTCTCCTTCTCCTCTTGCTCCCAGGAAGTATGAGTTTAGGTGGCCACACAGTCTCCTGCAAATTCTTAGCTATTTCCTGAGGACAGATGATGAATTGTATCTCTCTGTGCCCCTGCTTTGCCTTCCATTGAAAAGCTGTGATTGTGACCTCATGTCAACATGTCCTCTCCATTTCATGATTTCGTTCCTTGGCATGGTCCCCTTGCACAATAAAAAGGCAAAAGAGAAAAAAAAACATAGCCTTCCATCACTGTGTCTCTGTTGTGTCACATTTCTTTGCTGCATGTCTTGCACATCACTGCTTTGCTGCTTCACACCAGTGGTGGGTGCGGTGTGGGCTGGAGGGGCTGGGTCTCCAAGAACAAGCCCCAGACCTCTGTGGGAGGCCCTGAGGCTGGGACTCCTGGTAACCTGGTGGGAGGGGCTGAGAGTGTCTGGGGCTAATTGGGCTAGAGGTCATTAGCCTTGAAGAAAGGACTGTCTCAGGCCAGGTAAGTGAAGCACAATAGTGGCTTCCTTAGATGTCATTTTTCCTGGAAAGGACAGTCAGGAAAAGAGTAGCTGTGGTAGAGGGGTGAGGTGGCAAGAGGAGGGTGGAAGGAGGGGACAGAATTGGGGGTGAGTATGGAGTGGTGAAGGAGCCCACGAGGGCTCCTTCAGTGGGTAAGCGCTTGGCTGCTAACCAAAAGGTGGGCAGTTCAAACTCAATGGCCACTCCATAGGAGAAAGATGTGGCAGTCTGCTTCCGTAAAGATTTATAACCTTGGAAACCCTGTAGGGCAGTTTTGCTCTGTGCTATAGGATTCCTATTGAGTTGGAATTGACCAATGATAATGTGTGACCTTGGGCAAGTGGTGCCACCTCCGTGAGTCTCTGTTTCCTTAGATGTAAAGTGGGTATTATAACAGGAGTTCATCACAAATTTTGAACAAATGGGATTCTAGTTAACGAACCAGGGGGTTCTCAGTCAATTTGTTGATGGGTGGGTGGGGGGGACTTTAGTGCCTTCCTATCTCTCTTGGCAAGCCTCATTTCCCATTGTTGACCCTGATGTCCTATCTCCACCCCATAGGCAATGGGATGGCAATGTGGGTCAATAGAAAAAGCAGGAGCTTTTCCCTGTTCAGACCTGGGCTCAAATTTCCATTTGGTCACTGTATGAGTTACATATTGCTGTGTAACAAATTGGTACAAATGTAGCAGCTTGCAACAACACCCATTTATTAGCTCATGATTGTCCAGGTAAGATTTGGTTGGGTTCTATGCTCAAGGTCTCACGAGGTGGTCTTTGTTTTCAGCTGGGGGCTCTGGGAAAGAATCTACTCTCAAGCTCCTTCACATTGTTGCCAGGATCCAGTTCCTTGTGGCTTTAGAACTGAAGGCCTCATTTCCTTTCTGGCTGTTCACCAGGGCCATTCTCAGTTCCTAGGAGTTGCCCACATTCCTTCCCATGTGGGCTCCTCCATCTTCAAAGCCAGTAATGGAGAATTTCTCCTGCTCATGTTTAAAATTTCTCTGCCTTTTCTGTCTCTGACCTCTAGACCCAGATCTAAAGGGCTCCAGGGGTTAGGTCAGGCCCACCTGGGTGATCTCCCCTTTGAAGTCAACTCTGCCACATCACATGGAACACTAATGGCACAGTGCCTAAGGCATTTGACTGCTAACTAGAAGACTGGTGGTTCAAACCTACCAGTCACTCTGTGGAAGGAAGATTGGGCAATCTACTTCTGTAAAGATTTACTGCCTTGGAAACCCAATGGGGTTGCTATCAGTTGGAATCAACTTGATGGCAGTGAGTTTGTTTTTTTCCTTTTTTAAATTTTCTTTCACCTAACAGCTGTCTCAAACCTTTCATCAGGGTCCAGCTACCCCCCTACCATTGTATCCTTTATATATCCTTATATCAGTATCTCCCCCTATCATTGTAGACTATGTCCTAGTAGAGACCCACCTCCCTATAGAATGGGTGTCAGTTAGAAGACTGGGCACAGCTGTGACCTTGGGTGCTGGCTAGGAAATGCTTTCCCTGAATTTCACCCTGAGATTCTCATTCATTGGATCTGGGGTGGGACACTGGTCTGTGTTTGTAACAAGCATCTCAGCTGATTCTGAGGCGGGTGGCCTGCAGGCCACACTGAGAAATCCAGTGACTGGTTTCACACACAGACTGGAGTCGGTGAACCTGGAGTTAAAGCCTGTCTGTCATTTCCAGCAAGGTGTCCTGGGGGGAGCTGCCCAGCTTCCTGAACCGTTGGTTTCCTTACCTGTAAAATGGGATCGTCACAGCTGCTCCCCAAAGTGGCTTTGAGGAGTCAGTGCGATGGTCCCTGTACAGGCCACAGTGGCATCTGCTAGGCTCTCCCTGTGTCTTATCAATACTCAAAAAACAAAACAAAACAAAAAACTCACTGCTGTGGAGTCGGTTCATAGCAACCCTTGCTTGGGTTTCTGAGGCGGTATTGCTACAGAAGTAGATTGCCCATCCATCCTTCTGAGGAGTGGCTGGGGGGTTTGAACTTCCAGCCTTCTGGTTAGCAGTCAGATGCCTTAGGTACTATGCCACGAGAGTTCTCCTTATCTATATACTGATTATTATTATAGCCCACTGGCCCATGACCTTGGCTATGGTTTGCTGGCTGTAGGAGTCAGAGCAGAGGGACAAAATGAACTGTTGTTTCAGACAGAATCTTGTTTGAAGTTCAGGGAGCTGGTGGGAGGGGAAGGAGACATCTCGGGTTTAGCCCTCTGTGCCTTACTGGCCTTTTTCTTCCTCTAAAGCCTTTCTTGGGCACTCTGGTGTCTAACCAGAAGGCTGGAGGTTCAAACCCACCAGCCACTCCTTGGAAGGAAGATTGGGCAATCTACTTCTGTAGAGACACTGCCTTGGAAATCCAAGGAGGGGTCACTATGAGTTGAATCAACTCAATGCCATGAGCCTTCCTTCCTCTAAACCAAAAACCCACTGCCATCGAGTTGCTTCTGACTCATAGACTCAGTGACTCTCACTGAATTTCCAGGATGAGACATCTTTATGGAAATAGATCGCCCTAGGCTGAGCCATCCGGAAAGGTGTGGTCTGTGCAGACAAGAGCAGGGGTCTAGGGCAGGGTGGGTGGTCTCAGGCCTGGAGTAGTCAGCAGGCATGAGGGGGCTGCTTCTGCCCTCTCTGCTCCTCTCTCTCAGTCCTTAGGCAGTGGGACGAGGATGGGGAAGGGGTGACATGGGGTGTGGGGTCTAAGCATCCATCATTTGGGGACTGGCATCGACGAGGCAAGCGGGGGTTTAGCCTGGCCAGCCCCAGCATCCTAGGCCTAACAGAAGGTCAACTTGTACCTTGGGTGCAACTGCCCAGACCTGGAGACAGCAGCTAGGACTCGGGGACAGGCAGGAGGCTCAGTGTGGCCGTGCCATTGTCAAAGGCAGCTGGGGGCACCCTTTCCAGTTCCCCAGGGGCAGCTGTGCTGGGTCTGCTCTCTGAGGCTGGTTAGCAAGGTGGCCTGGGCTCCATCTGCCAGGCCACACGACTCACCGCTGGGCTCTCTCCTTTCCTCTCCACAGCGGCACCAGCACACCGCTCCCAGCCCCCACCTGGCAGTGTACACCGGGACGTGCGTGCCCCCCTCACCCTCCAGCCCCTTCTCCTCGTCCTGCCGCTCTCCGAGGAGGCCTTTCCCCTCACCTGGACGCTTCAGACGGCCCAGCAGCACTATCTGCCCCTCGCCCATTAGGGTGGCCTTGGGCAGCTCCCCGGGCCTGGAGCAGGAGGGTGAGACCAGCGGGTCCAGCACCCACCGTGGGCCCTCCGTCACCGAGGGCAGCGAGGCCTCCCTGGACTCAGAGCTGAGCTCAGGCTTCCCTCGGCCCTGCACCCAGCCCAGGGCGCCACCCAAGATCCGCGTGGCTCTGTCTTTCAGCCGGTTTCTGAGGCGCGGCTGTTTGACTTCTCCCGTCTTTGCCAGGCTCTCACCCAAGTGCCCCCCTGTGCCCCATGGCAAGGTGCAGCCCCTGGGTGATGGGGGCCAGCAGCTGCCCCGGCTGAGACCCAAGAAGGTGGCCAAGTAAGAACCAGGAGGGTGTTGTGCTCTGTGTGCGCGTGTGCATGTATGTCCGTGTGTGTCCGGGCATTGTGGCTGTGAGTGTGTTTGTGTGTGTTCATGTTGCTGTGTGTATCTGTGTGTACGCCTGTGCATTGTGTCTGCGGGTGTGTGTCTACACGTGCATGCATATGTGTCTGTCTGTGCCACTGTCCATCTGTGTGCATGTGTGCATGTATGTCCGTGTGTGTCTGGGCATTGTGGCTGTGTGTTTGTGTGTGTTCATGTTGCTGTGTGTGTCTGAGTGTATGCCCATGCATTGTGTCTGTGGGTGTGTGTCTACACGTGCATGCATGTGTGTCTGTGTGTGTGTGCATGTACGTCCATGTGTGTCCGGGCATTATGGCTGTGAGTATGTTTGTGTGTGTTCATGTCACTGTGTGTATCTGTGTGTATGCCCGTGCATTGTGTCTGTAGGTGTGTGTCTACACGTGCATGCATGTGTGCCTGTCTGTGCCATTGTCCATCTGTGTGTGTGTGCAGGTATGTGTCAGCATGTGTTTGTGTGTATGTCTCTGTGTGGGTCTAGCTATGTGTCTCTGTAGAATGTGTGAACGTGTGTGCCATGGCTCTACTGTGTGACCATGGTCTAGAGCTGGGGGCAGGTGGGAGGGTGGTAATGAGAATTCTGGAAAAGCAGATATCACACATAGTCTATCTAAATCACCGAAAAATTCCCAGAAGCTCGGTTTTGTTCTTTCCTCTCCTGAGAAGGAGAGAGGGTGACAGGTGTGCTCCTTTTCCATCTTGTAATATTTTTTTCCCTTCCATGATATTTTACAAGGATCTCTCTTCAGGGGCCAGTTTCTTTGGAAAGCAACTTAAAGGGAGTGAGAGTTAGCTACTAGAATATTCTATGGAAGAGCTCTGGTGGCTAAGGCATTAACCAAAAGGTCAGCAGTTCAAACCCTCCAGCCACTGTATGGGAAAAAGACGAAGCAGTCTGCTTTCGTAAAGATTTACAGCCTTGGAAACCCTCTAGGGCAGTTCTGCTCTGTCCTGTAGGGTCTCTGTGAGTTGGAATCAACTCGATGGCAGTGGGTGGGTGGGTTATATCCTACACCCTGGTTGCACAGTGGTTAAAGCACTCGGCTGCTAACCAAAAGGTTAGTAGATTGAACCCACCAGCCACTCTGTGGGAGAAAGATGTGGCAGTATGCTTTGGTAAAGATTTATAGTCTTGGAAAGCCTACAGGATAGTTCCACTCTGCCATATAGCGCCATTATGAGATGGAATCGACTTGCTGGGCATTTATTTATTTATTTACTTGGTATATCCTATAGAGGAGTCCCTGGGTGGTACAAAGGGTTAACATATTCAACTGAGAATCAAAAGGTTGGAGGTTCAAGTCCACCCAGTGAAGCCTTGGAAGAAAGGCCTGGCCAACTACTTCTGACAAACCAGCCATTGATAACCCTCGGAGCTCAGTTCCACTCTGATGCACATGGGGTCACTATGAGCTGGAGTTGACTCAGCAGTAACCGGACTGTCCTCTAGGGACATCCTGAATTGATCAAAGCCACAAATATCCAAGCCCCTTGAAAATGCAAAGCATGTTTGTGACTGCTGTCCATTCAGCAAGAAAATACTACTGCCCTCCACTCATTGTTTCGCATGACTTTTGGTGGCCATCCCTGTGCTGTTAATCTTCTCCAGGGATGCCAGGGTCCACTTGGGGCTTCTTGTTGCTCTTGCTTCACACTCCTTGCTTTCCTTTTGCCCCCAAGCTTTTTCCAGATCAAAATGGACGTGCCTACAGGGAGCGGGGCCTGCCTGGTGGACTCTGAGGAGGATGGCATCGTAGGCGAGTCTGGGGACCAAGAAAAGGAGGTCATCTGCCCCTGGGAGAGCCTGGCTGATGGGAAAGCAGGCTGACCCACGGCCTCCAATCCAGAAAAAGCTCCTGCCACGAACCCAGCTCCACCGAGGCTGGATGGGGCGCAGGGCATGCTGTTCTCAGACCAAAGTGCATTAAGATCAGATTTAGGGGCCAGAAAGACAAAATGAGGTTGCCTATGGGCCCCAATGACCACCTTCTTCCCTTCCTCCTGACCTCCCTTCCCTTGGGCAGAAGAAAGACCTGTGGACCAGAAGACCTTACTTGCTGCCTTAAAACCAATAAAACTTAAGAGTCCCTTTGATTGGAGTGGCAGCGTGTTTGTGGTTTTATTATGTTAAACCCCTGTCTTTGGTTTTCTGGACAAAAAGGGTGTGGAGTCACTACCAGGAGCTCCCTCCCTCTCGACATTGGTTTCACATGCTATTTTTCTCCACTGAGTTCCACAGGGATGGTCCAGCATGTGGCATCTCACAGGAAGGGATGGAGGGGCAGCTGGGGAGGAAGGCAGCCACCTAGGGTGCCAGGTGTGGTGGCTCAGCTCCTTTGAGAAGCGAAGCAGAGTTGGATAGGGAGGTGTTTATTAGGGGAAACATCTATGAAGGATAAAGACTGGGTGCTGGGGCAGGTGAGGAGAACCTTCAGACCACAGTGCAGGGCTGACCCCCGGGGAAGGGAGAGGAAGTAAAAACCTCTACGTAGAGGAAAGATGTTTACCTGTGTTTTATTGACTATGCAAAAGCATTCGACTGTGTGGATCATAATAAACCATGGATAACATTGCAAAGAATGAGAATTCCAGAACATTTAATTGTGCTCATGAGGAACCTGTACATAGACTACGAGGCTGTTGTTCAAATTGAAGAAGGGATACTGCATGATTTAAAATCAGGAAGGGGGTGCATCAGGGCTGTATCCTTTCACCATACTTATTTAATCTGTATGCTAAGCAAATAACCCAAGAAGCTGTACTATATGAAGGAGAACACTGCATCAGGATTGGAGGAAGACTCATTAGTAACCTGTGATATGCAGATGACACAACTTTGCTTGCTGAAAGTGAAGATGACTTGAAGCACTTACTGATGAACATTAAAGATTACAGTTTTCAGTATGAATTACATCTCAACATAAAGAAAACAAAAATCCTCACAACTGGACCAATAAGCAACATCGTGATAAATAGAGAAAAGATTGAAATTGTCAAGGATTTAATTTTACTTGGATCCATGATCAACACCAATGGAAGCAGCAGTTAAGTAGTCAAACATCATACTGCACTGGGCAAATCTGTTGCAAAAGACCTCTTTAAAGTGTTAAGAAGCAAAGATATTACTTTGAAATCTAAGGTGCACCTTCCCCAAGCCATGGTATTTTCAATTTCCTTACATGCATGTTAGGAACTCTGGTAGTGTAGTGCCTAAGGCACTTGACTGCTAACCAGAAGGCTGGCAGTTCAAACCCACCAGCCACTCCTCGGAAGGAAGGTTGGGCAATCTACTTCCGTAGTGATACCGCCTCACCTCGGAAAGCCAAGGAGGGGTCGCTATGACTCAGGTCTGACTCGTTGGCACACAACAACAACAACAACAACAACACATGCATGTGAAAGCTGGACAATGAATAAGGAAGACTGAAAAAGAGTTGATGCCTTGGAATTACAGTGATGGTGAAGAATACTGAAAGTTCCATGGACTGCCAGAAGAACAAACAAATCTGTCCTGGGAGAAGTGCAGCCGGAATGCTCCTTGGAATTAAGAATGGCCAGACTTCGTCTCACCCACTTTGGTCATGTTGTCAGAAGGGACCAGTCCCTGGAGAAGGCTGTCATGCTTGGTAAAGTGGAGGGTCAGCAAAAAAAGGGACAACCCTCAATGAGATGGACTGACACAGTGACTGCAACGCTGGGCTCAGGGAAGGCAAGCATTGCGAGGCTGGTGTAGGACCAGGCAGTGTTTTGTTCTGTTGTACACAGGGTCACTACAAGTCAGAGCCAACTCAATGGCACCTGACAACAACATGTAGAGGACTCCATGAACATTTAAGCTGTCCTGTCCCCAGGCCAGGGGGAGTCTCCTGGTGGTGCAAATAGCGAACATGCTTGGCTGTTAATCAAAAGTTAGAGGTTCGAATCTACCCTGAGGCAACAACAAAGAAAGGCCTCGTGATTCTACTTCCGAGAAATCAGCCATTGAAAACCCTGTGGGCACGGTTCTCCTCTGGTACACATGGGTCACCGCGAGTTGAGTTGACCAACTGCGCCTGGTCTGGAAATAGTTGGCACCTAGTTTTTATTTGTAGCCTTTGGGACCACAGCAGAAATGGAGACAAAAAGAATCCCATTTTAATACCCCTTATATATGGAAACCCAAGGAGGGGTCGCTATGAGTCAGGCCCAACTTGACGGCATATAACAACACAAGAAGCCCTGGTGGTATAGTAGTGAAAGCATTGTGCTACTAACCCAAAGGTCAGCCGTTCAAGCCGACCAGTAGCTCCATGGGAGAAAGCTGAGACAGCCTGCTTCCACAAAGATTTACAGCCTTGGAAACCCTATGGGGCAGTTCTGCTCTGTCCTCTGGGGTTGCTGTGAGTCAGAATAGACTCAATGGCCGGTAGGTTTGGTTTGGTACATTTGTCCAAGTTGAGGAACATGGTTATTTTCCTTGTGTAGAAAGTGTGTATCAGAGCAAATTTCTCCAGCACTCCAAAGGTGGTTGTCCTTTGGCTCTCTGGGGAGGGGACCCTTGGTGGCTTCTGAAGGCTGTGAATTCATTGAGCTTGAGAATGGACAGTTTCCCTTGTTTATTAGCTCGGAAAGGAAGGAAGAAGATCCATTCTGCAGTCTGTACCGACTACTTGCTCAAGGAGGCCCTGGGTGCCTGGAAGGTGAGCTGGGGAGGTATGGGTGCACTGGGCCCTTCCTCACTGCAGCCCCAGAGGCCGGATCTCTCTGCTCTGGGAGGCCACCTCCTCCTCACACTTCACCAGAAGAGGGAGTCCAAGGCTCAGAGATCCCCAAAGACAGTCTGGTGGGATTTTCCCTAGAGGAATAGAAATCAGAGACCAGTATTGGAGAAGAAGGGAGAGGAACTGAGGGGAGGTGGTTTCATCATTGGAAAGTCAGAGAGAGCGGCAGAAAGGACCTGCCTCCCCTGTGAGCCTGTCCTCCTGTGCTGCCCCGTGCCCCTGGGGCTGACCCAGGCAGGGACCTGAGAGAGAAGCCTCTGCAGGGCCTCACTGTCCCCTCACTGCCATGATCCCTATGGGGTCGCTGCAGTGTTTCCCTGGCTGCTGTGTCTGATGGGGGCAAGGAAGGGGGGTGTGCTGTCCCTAGTGGCTTTTTTTTTTTTTTTAATTTTTATTGTGATCTTGGTGAAAGTTTTCAGAGCAAATTCATTTCTCACACAGCAGTCCATACACATTTTGTCTCATGACATCGACTATAATTCCCCACAGTGTAACAGCTCTCTTCTCATTTCCTCCCCACAGTTATCTCTTCCCTGTGCCCTTCCCTCCCATGCACTCTCACCTCCTGAGCTGTGTCCCTGTGCAAACACTGCCCTTCTATTCTCCCATGATTGATCTCTCTAAGTAGTGTATCTACCTGATGTAAGTGTTCAGCCCATATGCATGTCTATTGTTTGCTGGAAGCCACAGGAGTGAGTTCAATTACAGACCTGAAGGGTAGCTAGGGGCCATAGTCTCAGGGGTCCTAGTGACTTTTGGTGAGGACTGAGAGTCTGTGAAAAGCTCCCCCAAACTGCCCCCCCCCCGCCCGCTGACTGATCCATAGATCCCACCCTTTGAGAGTCATTCCCTGTGTGGAGCCTCACTCCTAGGAACGGAGACCAGTCGAGCTTCATTCATCTTTCCCTCCTCAGCCCTAATATTTCATCAGCTTCTCCATTGAGAAGGTGAGGCTGAAGGATTGTGGCATCTGGAGAGTTTGTCTTTATAGGAATAATGAAATCAGCAAACAAGCTTTTAAATTTCCCAGCTGATGGGAGGGACCTGGACATGGCCATATGACAAAACTAACCAAACCCAACTCATTGCCATCAAGTTGGTTCCAACCCATAGTGACCTCCATTGGGTTTCCAAGGCTGTAAATCCTCACAGAAGCAGACTGCCTCATCTTTCTTCCACAGATTGACTGGTGGGTTTGAACCACTAACCGTTTGGTTAGCAGCTGAATGCCTTAACCACTACACCACCAGAGCTGCTTTGGCCATATGACAGGGGATTGAGAAAAAAAGCAAATTCATTTTCTTCTAGGGAGAACAGACTAAGAGGATTCAAAGTCTTGCCTGGTGGGACAGCTGGTTTGGGGTATAAGCTTTGTGTGCATCAGCTGGTGTGAAAGGATGGAGACTATCTGTGTGCTTCGAGGGGTGCATTTGTGTGTGTGTGTGTGTGTGTGTGAGCATCAGGGCTATGTATGTATGCTCTGGTCTGTGTGTATGTGGAGCCTTTGTGTGGGTCTTGCCTGGGAGGTTGTGAGCCTGGTACTGATTGCAGTGGGGAAGGGAGGCATACCCCATTACAGCAATCAGAGTCCCTGGATGGTGCAAACTGTTAAGCCCTTGACCACGAACTGAAAGATTGGTGGTTCTAAGGTCCCTAGAGGTGCCTCAGAAGACAGGCCTGGTATCTGCTTCTGAAGACCAGAGCCTTGAAAACCCTAGGGAGCAGTTCTACTCTGCACACACGGGGTTGTCGTAAGTTGGAAATGACTCAACAGCAACTAACAACAACAGTAACTCAGAGATGAACTTGGAGACCGTGATCCACATGGAAAACCATCACCGTACAGACATCACCAGAAGCTCAATGTTAAGGAAGAACACCTTTGTCTCCTGGCCCCATAACGTTTGGGGAGAGGAGCACAATCTGGTAGACGAGGGAGTCGGGGTGCAGTGCGGTTCAGTGGACATGCCATGGTTGTCCTCTGGGCTAGTCTTGGCAGAATCATAGCACCTTTATTATAGAAACTTTCTTCTTATTATTAAAAACAAAAAAAAACTGTTCACAATCC